AAAATTAGTAATCCGTGACATACTGAAGAGTTTTATAAAACTCAATTCACCTGAACGTCCTGAGAAAGTGACATAGATTAACTGAGCTAGAATTTTTTTCTTGAGTGTTTTCCAATTATAAAAGTAAACATATGGCTCACAGGGTGTTCACATTTGTCAAAACTGAGTGATCTGTGCACTTCATTGTATGTAAATTTTACCTTAAAAGAAAACAAAACAGTAAACACATACTGAACTCTGGTAATAATATGCATGCTGAAGTATTTAAGGGGAAAGATACTGATGCATACAACTTATTTTGAAATGCATCAAAACGGATTGATTGAATATACATGTGACAAAATATTTGTATTAATGACAGAGACCCTAGATGGTAGATATGCAGATGTTCACTAGAAAATTCTTTCAACCCTTCTTTATGTTTGAAATTTTTATAATAAAATGTTGGGGGAAAATGTGAGATCTTTGAAAATATGGAAAACAAAGGAAGTAAAATAAAAGTACCATACAGACACCAAGCAGACACCCAAGATCTTACTATATGTTTTGTAGTTTGCTTTCACCACTTAGCAATATATAATGAGCATTTCCCCAGCTCTTTAAATATTCTCTCAAATGCAATGGAATTCTATTATACAGAGGTAGAATACTTTTTTCAGCTTTACTGAGATATACTCAACAAATTGTAATATTTTAAAAGTATAAAACATGATGATTTTACACACAGTGAAAAGATTCACACAATGGAGGTAACACATCCATCACCTTCCATATTTGCCTTTGTGTGTGTGTGAGAGATGTAGCGTAATTTAAAAGATAATCTGTTAAAGAACACTTGGGTTGTTTCCAGTTCTTCACCATTAATCATCTGAGATGAGCAGCTATTGTAGCCATCTCTCTGCATATCTCTGACTACCTCTTTAGGATGAAGTCATAGAAGTAAAACTTCTGGCTCAAAGAAAGTAAATATTTTAAAATTTTTGATGCATTTTGCTAATCTCTTTCCAAGAAGCTTACCAATTTACACTCCTAACAGGAGTGTATCACAGATCATAGCTAACATTTGAATTAAATGCTTCCATAAGTAAAGTTTATAACTATTCTTTCTCCCAAAGAACAAAGGCTCTTTTTTTTTTTTAACATTTATTTATTTTTTGAGAGATACAGAGAGGCAGAGCACAAGTTGGGAAGGGGCAGAGAGAGGAGACACAGAATCTGAAGCAGGCTCCAGGCTCTGAGCTGTCAGCACAGAGCCTTATGCAGGGCTCGAACTCATAAACCGTGAGATCATGACCTGAGCCGAAGTCGGAGGCTTAACCCACAGAGCCATCCAGGCACCCCATAAAGGCTCTTTTTTAAAAGAAAGTCTACAATATGCAAAACCAGCATCCAAATCTTGGTTTCTAAATATCACAGTCCCAATTCTGGTACCCTGGATCAGGGATTCTTGAAGAAAGGGATGATTCCAGGAATGAGGTAGGAACTAGATGAGCCTGGAAAATCTTGTGCCAGGAAGTAAAAAAAAAAATGCTAAAAAGTGATGGAGACATACCAAAGGGCAAAGGAGCTAACTTGAAGGGACTCTTACTTGCTCAATTGGGACAATTTAAGCTTGAAAGTAACAATAGTAATATAATGGTACATTTTCAATTTGAAAAAGAATCCGTAAGTCCACAATGGAACGATAAACAAATGAATGGGTGAATAAGTAAAGAAAGGAAGGCTCTCATTTATGCTAGAACTTTTCTTTCTACATAGTAACTGTCATAATAACATCTGGTTCAAACAAGAATTGCCAACAGATGCTAAAAGCATTGGGTGACACTTGTTGAAAGAAGATGTTTACATAGCCTCAGAGTATCTTCCAACAGCTTAATGATTAATTACAAAGAGTTTTCGGAAAAGGGTATTTTTACTATAGAGAAATTGGGTAAACCCTTCTTAATCAAAGGTTCAAAAGTATTAGTATCACCAATAACAAGACAAACTGACATCATAGTCTCCCATTAAGATATGCCAAGGGCATATGACCTATGCAATATTTCTACCAAAATATTCTACATTATCTTAATTCTACATGATCTTAAACTAGGCAAAAGGAAGGGAAAATCAGATAAACCCAAAATGAGGGCCATTCTACCCAACAATCCCATACTCTTCAAAAATGTCAAAGTTTAAAAGACGAAGGCAGAGAAACTGTTCAATTAAACAGATATATAAATTAAACACAATATGTGATCCTGATTGGATCCTGGGTTGAAAAATTGCCATAAAAAGCCCTTATTGGGACAACTGACAAAGTCTGAATATAGACTGTGAGGTAGGTAATATTATTGCATCAATGTTAAATTTTCTGATTTGATAGTTGTATTATGGTTGCATTCTTGGGAGATGCTGAAATACAGATGTTATATACACAGCATCTACAATTTACTCTCATGGTTCAATAAAATAGGAATACATACAACTTGATATATAAAAAGAAAGCAAATGCTGAAAAATGTTAATTAGTGGTGATTCTAGGGAAAGGATAAGCTAGAGTTCACGGTACTATTCTTGGAGTTTTTCCCTAGGTGTAAAAGTTTTTTTTTTTAATTAAGTTTTAAAGAACTACCTAGATTTTAAGTAAATTCCATTTTTCTTTCTTTTCTTCTAAATTAAAAAAGTAATATGTACTCACTAAAGCAGAGAAAAGTAATACATACTCACTAAATCAGAGGTCTACAAAAAAAAGCAAACACAAAGGTCTTCTATCCCCTCACATAAGCAAAGTTAAGGGAGCCTGATAAATATTTTCTCCACCTTTCACTAAGTTCATAAAACATATTTCATCAGATATCAAGTCACCTTAAAGAGGCATGTGAATGAGCTGCAAACATATTATTAAATGTCCCATTGCTTCTTGGCAAAAAAGTGACCAAGAAACAGAAGACTGAATCTACACATTGGAAAAAAATCTAGAGCTTATTGCTTTTATCTTACTTAGAAAACACCCAGCCAGCAAGCCAATACATAGTTCACAAAGTAGAACAAAAATCAAACTAAGAAATGCATACTTCCTTTCCAATACCTCCCAACCCCTAGCCAAAATTTTTTACATCTTAAACTCCTGTTGATTCAAGAAGGAGGGATGCTTTGCAATAATTTACCATGTCTCTTTATCACTGACAATCACTGGCTAAACCAAGCCCCAAAGCCGAAACTGAGTTTGTGTTTTTCCTAAAATTTATGAGTTACGCTCCTACCGTTTACTACAATCCACTCAATTTCTGAACGATAACCATTTAGGTTAAATACCTACATGAGAGCAGGACTTGGCATTTTCCAATTCCTGCTTTCACCCCTGTGCTTTCCTAGGTCATTCTATTAGCTTTCTTAAAGATTAGAAAACAAAACAAAACAAAGGCACTATGTATGGGGTTGGGGGGAGGCGTGGAGTGAACACAGCAATTACTGTTTTCCTGTCAAAATCTGTTCTATAACTCAAAAAGTGTCGCATCCAACAATCATATAAGAACATGCTTGTTGTACTTAAGCATGCATGACCTAATGCTTACAAATATGAGCATGCTTATATACTTTTCTGAATATGAATTTGATGGAATTGGTTTATTTCCCATCTAACCTGGTCACCTACAGGTTTCGGAATTGAGAACTACCGAACGGGGGGTCTGATTTCCTGGAATTCATCTGCCCCTCCTGAGGAAGCTTACTCTGTTTTTCAAACCTCTATTTCTCCAGCTATAAAATGGGTACAATAATGTTTACCTATAAAGGACTGAAGAGTTCACTAGATAAACGAAGCTAGGTTCCATCCAGAGTAAGACATGGTTTTACTATTTGGCTACTACGAAAAATGTGTTGATCAAGAAATGAGGGGAGGAAACTTTCTATACAAAGCATGCTCCCGTTTTGTGCACATATGGGCTCCTTAATGCTTTCCACAACCTACAGGTACCCCAAGGCAGAAATAGCTTAGTCCTTCTGACCTGGCTTCAACAATTGGAAACTCAGCTGGTGATCACACAGTCACACAGCACTGCTGGGAGGAAACACCACAAAGTGCTGCCATTTGGGTTTCCTTCTCTAATCAATTGCTACGGTTCACTGACAGCAGTTAATGAAAAAAAAAAAATAAAATAAAATCATTCAGGGGAGATTAAAATGTATTTATAGAAAAGTTCACTTTAAAAAAAGACATTGAAAAAAATAAATAATTAACCCAAACAGGACATAAATAGAAATGACCAAAACAAGCTCCAGAGGGTAGCTGTTAAAAGCTATCAACGCCATGCCTGCAGGTCAGCTCCACAATTAGCTTCATCCTCCAGGTACCAAACTGAACATGGGGACCAAGCTGTGTCATATTCCTAAGGAAGATGAAGGGCCCACTAGGACCAGCCTAAGCCCCAGACTCTGGAAGCCAAGACCCTTTTCTGGTTTTACAAAGAAGACAGCTCTCTGTCCAGCATCTGTTAATTCTTCATTAAACAAAAACCATCACTGTTGGCTTCAAGTAGAGGCGAAATCCAAGAAGCTGGTATTGTTTATATTTCAGTAGAAAAATAATGCTTTTTAGTTTTTAAAAGACAACTCCTGATAACCACAGATTCACGAAACCCAAAATAAAAAGGGAATAAAATGTTCACACATTACTCTTTACTGACCCCTCTCGGCTGACCTAGGGAAAAGAAAAGCCTGAAGCCAAGGAAGGTCTGAACCTCACCTTCCCCTCGAAGAGAGCTCAGAGAACATTCGGTCTTTCATGCCATGGAAGGAAACACTCTCCGTGCAGATGACCCCTAGAACTCAACCCTAAAGCACATGCGGCCGTGATTTCTATTTATGGGGCTCCCAGAATGGAAACTGGGAAACAGCCTCATGGATCGGCCCCAAAGGCCTCGCTCGCTAGGTCCCCGGCAGCCTGTGACCTCTGACTCGGTGGAAAAGCTTACATAAGCGCAATCACCACCAGTTCTGAGAGCAGGGAAAGGCCTTACCTCTTTCTCTATTTTGAGCAGCTTCTTTACAGCCACCTCCTTGTCCTGGGATATCCATCTGGCTCGATATACACTCCCAAAACTTCCTCCACCGCAGTTTTCAAAAAACTGCAAGTCATCAAATTTGATTTGCACAAAGGAGGTACCGAGAGACGACATCTCATAATGACGAAGTATTAGACTTCCACAAAACCTGCAGAGACAGAGAAAAAGAAAAGTTGGATTATAAACATATTAGAACAAATCCTCTGAATGCTGCTGTAGGTAATGTGTAACAAGCACTGTGAAACTTCCAGAAAGAACCCTGAGGACTCAGGAGCAAGGACAACAAGGCTATAAACAAATCAAAATGAAAACACTTACCACGGCAGCCCATGCAAAAGTTGACAGCAACTTGTCCAGGCTCTGAAACACAGCTGTTCACAGAGCAATGGCTCAGATTTCTCCCCCGACAAAACCTGTAGCGGCACTTCCTGCACATCCCGAGGAGCTCTGCCTAAAGGCTACTGTGTCACCAGGTCTATGAGGGAGCCCTGACACACAGGAAGCATGCTTTCCACAGCAAACTTGCATAGCTCTCCCGGCATGTGAGGTATGCCGGCTCTCCCACGGTGTGCTCACTTCACACGAAATATACATCACCTACGCAACGGAGCATCCTGCCCCAAGGAGAGCCCAAATGCCGCGGAGGGAACACACATACGGTGTTTAGATTCCAAAAGCAAGCGTTCAGCTCGGGGATAGCAAAGCTGGCCAAGTGTTTTCCACAAGTGGCTCCCTGGACTGTATACTGTAGCAGGACTTAATTAAAGAGAAGAAAATTTGCCCTTGATTACAATATTAAGTCATCCAAAAACCTCTGCCAAGAGTGTAAAAAAAAAAAAAATATTATGTTGTTTCCAGAGGAACAGATTACCTCTCCCAGAGATTATTACGGTGATATTTTCTGCAGTCTAAGGAGTTTTACTATTCTCTGGGTAAGTGGTCATTCTTTACACCACATGCCAAACCACAGATTCCCAGGAAAGACAAAACAAAAACATACAAACAAAACAAGAAAACAAGAAAATAAAACACTAAAATGTTGAACCTGCCTAAAAAGCAGGTGGAGAACAAAAGTTTGTATACAGATTCTTACCAGAATCTCACAGTGTGGGTGCAGAAAGACAAATGCATATGTACACAAAACAACTGGTCTGGGATCTTCATAACTGTCAAAGTCATGAGAGACTTAAAAAAAAAAAAGCAGGAAAACTTCTAGCATATGATGACTAAATGCAATGAATGAACACTGGACTCTGGAAAAAAAAATCTACAGAAAGTATTATTGGGATTTTAGAGAAAATTGAACACTAACTATATATTAGGTATTATTATCTTATCCATGGATAATAATAGTATTCTGGTTCAGTAGGAGGATGTCCTTGTTATTGGGAGATCTACTGGGAGACCTATTTAAGCATTATACCTACAACTTAATTTAAAATGGTTCAAACCCCTGCTCCTTAATCTCTAAAAACAGGGCACTGGCATAGAGAGGAAGCAAATGTAACAAAATGTTAAGAACTAGTGATTCTAGGCAAAAGTTATATGAGTGTTTCACTATTCTTTCCATTTTTCTGTGGGGTTTGATTATTTTCAAAATAAAAAAGTGGAGGGGACAGTTTGTATCTATAAAATTGACAAAATTTCTTCATAAACAACTTGAAGCTTTGCTGAGTGATGTCCACAGTCGGCTCAGAGATCTTAATGTGCAGCTGACTAGCAATCCCATTTTAGGAACATCATGTCACTGAAGAATGCTGATTTTTTTTTTAAGTAAGCCCAACGTGGTGCTTGAACTCACAACCCCAAGATCAAGAGTCACATGCTCTACCTACTGAGCCAGCCAGACACCTCAAGAGTGCTGATTTCTTACATAACGTCAAACTCTGCTCTACTTTGGGGAGAAGGCAAGAGAGAGGACTGTTTATTTATCCTAAAGTTTAAAAGCTTACTGTCTACACAAAAATACAGGGGTGGGTTGGGGGGAAGCCCATAGCATCCAGCTTTAGTCTATACATATGTAAGTCAACAATTCACCTTACTAACTTTTGTTTCAGTTCACATTCAGTTAATCATAGAAAAGAAGAAAGTTTGGAAAAAATTTAGGAATGTGCCAAAGGTAGGTACATAGAATATGCAAGCTAAGAAGTTTGTTCAATAAAAGGCAAAGCACCACTTGCAAGATTCCCTCCACGTTACAGATGCTACGTCCATCTATGTTGTTATTAATTGCTTTTATTTTTATCAAAGTATAAAAATAAAATAGGACTACAAAGCTTGTAATAAAAAAATAGAACTCTCCCACTCCACCCCTCCCCACACCTTATTCTCTCTCCAGAGGGAACTAATTTCAACTCTTTTAGCATTTTCTTCTGCTATTTACCTCTGTATTTCTAAAAAGTGTGATCATATTGCTATTTCTTGATTGTTCCATTTCAGATGTTATCTATTAACTTCTCCTGTGGAAAAAAGGATTTAGTTCTCATATACCCCTTTCACCTCTTTGCATAGAGATATGTCACACTTGCCCAATCGTCCCAGCTTCCACCTATATTGTAACATCTAGTTAAGTCAACAGTAGGCTGACAAAGTAAATATTCCTAGGAATGCTCTGTAGGATTCAATGACTTTTCCTTTCTTGGACAACTTTTTTTTTTCTCCTAGAGTTATTAGTTGCTCTGTTTTTGTTATTTGCTTAGCTTTTTATATACTTAGCACTTATTCACCTCATTAAACTCTCCCAAGAATGGCAAAACTCCTCTCAATAAAATAAAAATATCAGGTAATTTGGGGGAGGTTGTTCTATTTTTTTCTTAAAGACATTCCTCCTATACTCTTCATCTCAATTCAATCTGGCTGGAATGGTTGTTCTCTAGGCCTGACTTGGACTGGGACTTCCTTTCATGATCATCCTAAAATTTCCTTTACCTTCTCCTCTGTGAGAACCCCTGTCCTAGAATTCCCTGGTTTCTCTCTTTTGACAGTGTGTATCTCCCATTAGCAACCTAATAGAGTACCCAGAACGTAATTTTTTGAGAATCTGTGGGTCTTAAAATGTCTTCATTGGCAGTCTGGCTGAGTTTACAATTCTAGGTAGGAAATAATTTTCCTTATAATTTTAAAAGTATTACTTCATAGTCTTCTAATTTCTAATGTGGCTGTAAAGCAGCCTGATACTGCTCTGGTAACTAATCCTTTTCACACTATTACCTTCTCTCTGAAAGCTTTTAGGACCCTGTATTCATTTCTGGATGCCCGAGATTAATAGGGCATATTTAGGAATGAATCTTTTTCATTCATTGGTAGGACATTCGGTGAACTCTCTCAGCCTGTACTCCCAGCGAACTCTCATCTTTTAATTCTGGGAAATTTTCTTGTGTTATTCCTTTACCACTTATAGCTACTTTTGCTTGTTTTCTCATTCTCACCACACACATGAGGAACTCCTTGCAGTTACAAGTACATGGTACTCCTACCCCTCTCACATCTCCATTCCTTTGCATAAGGGATTTCTGCTTTGAACGTCTTTCTCTTCTCAGGAAATTCCTGTCCCTAACTATCTGTTTCAAGTCTCGTGAGCAGAATTAAATTCTCCCTCTGTGCCTTAGCACCTTTCTTTACCTATTCATCTTTCCCACTTACTTCCCACCTTTAAGGGACCATAAATCCCTTAAAGGCAAAACCCATTTCCATTTACATCTGGATCTTCTTAAGCACCTAGTACACAGCCAGGCACATTGCACTGAATTTTTTCTACTCAAAAATTGCTGAAGGAACAAATGAATGAATAAATAGTTTCTGGCTATTCTTCTGTTATCTTTTGCAGCTAGAAAGATTCCAATCAGACTAAAATCTGAGAACTGTTGCTTTTACAAGTTCCCCCAGAGGATTATGAGGCAAATCCTAATTTGGAAACTATTGCCTGGGTATGCTTGGGAAACTGAGGATAAAATGTTTGGACTTCAGAATAAGGTGTCTAGGAGTCCAAAGGAGAAAGAAGAGGAGGAAGAAGGAAGGAAATTCTTTTCAAAACAAACCTAGAGATCTGAACCAGGATGAGATCAATATGAATAAATCTAAACCTCAGGTACAGAGCAAGTCCAGGGAATATGGATGAACGGAGGTAGGATCAGTTACATTTGACACTGATCTAAAAGTGCCAGAGGAAGGTGATCTAGGAGAAGCAGAGTTCTCCAGGACCTTCACTCCTCAAGATGAGGCAATTAATCATATTCTTCCCCAGAATCAGTTACTCACTTTGTGATACATCCTGCCATTTGGAAAAGAGCTATGTATGAATGGGACTATGTAATTATTTGAATGTTTTACTGAGACCATAAAAAATTAAGTCCCATCTTATTATGGAAGAGACTAACAATTCTGGGGTATAGGAGCACAGGTTTTAATTCCAGCGAGCTTGGCAAACATCATGGACTGAGATGAAAAACCTAACTGAGATTCCCATTGCCGTCTATATGAGTATCAGACCACGTATAGGTTTCCCCAGCTATCTAAAAGTACAGCCTTCCCATGAAATCTTTCATTAGCCAAAATGCTGTAAAGCAAAAAAGAAACTGCCATTAATTTACATGGAAAATTTTTTAACATTTCCAGACCCAAAAAGTAACCCCTCTTAAGGCTTTTCTGATACCTCAGGACACATCTTGTTAATGGATGCACAAAATAAATCAAGATAAAATAAAGTACAGATGCTCTCAAACACAGTTCAAAGCTATGACAGCTTGATGCTGAGCATGGTTCCAGGGAGAGAAGCTCAGGGTACGTGCTGCCTCTACAAGAGCTCACTGCAAAACAAATGCTGAATGCAATTTTCCCTTTTCACATTTTTTTCCCTAAAAGTGAAAATCCTCCTCAGATTTCTTTCTGTTAGCAAAAACAGGTACTAATATAGGTCTTCCATAAAGCAAAGTGGTATAATGCAAATTTTCGAAAAGCAGAAGATACCTGTATATTTATTTTTCCCCTTGAGCTAACTCCCTTTAATTTAAAATCATTATTCTAAGAGGATCAACGTATGATCAGAAGAATGGCAAATGTGAGTTGCTGATTAATCATACTTACAGCATCTTGGGGAAGACGGTTACCTGATCAAATCACATTCTAATTTTTCAGATGTGTTCTCCAGTGAATACAGATAAATTTAATAAGAGTCATCTATATAAATGTATTTACATGGTATACCCAATCAAAGGTTTATATCCCGCCATGTTAAAATAATTGCTTTTACACAAGAAAGGCAATTTTTTTCCATGCAATACCCAGTCCTAATTTGGTAGCATTTTAACTTGTTTCCTAAACTCTCACAGCTGCTTTAAATATTAGTAAGTATCTACCACACAGCACTGATTGGGTAAGTTAGAGCAGGGACAGCACAAAACTCAGAGCATAACAGGGTGTCATAGCACTGAAAATGTTGAAAATCACTAATGTGATGGTTGAGTCCAATCGTTTGAGTACTTGAATAGTAAGACAAACCTTTTCAATTTTTAAAAATTTTCTTAAAATTGAAATTTAAAAAAGATTTTTAACTACTAAATTGCTGAAAGCAAACATATACGTGTGTGTGTGTGTGTGTGTGTGTGTGTGTGTGTGTCACCATCAATGAACTATTAAAAGTGAAACTATATGGAGGCAGAAAACCTTGAGTGGAGTATTATTTGACTTTAAAGTTTTCAGCTTTCAAGTCCAAA